AGCTAACCTAACCAGAGACACTTGGTTTCCATTATCTATTCAAAAAGCCTGTTCTTATCAAAAGCATCTCTCCTGGCTCTTGCCTCCCTGAAATGGTCACAATGACCCCATCAGGACTGAGAGCTTTGTCCAAAGTCTCAGGCCATGGGGGGAAGTCTGTGTACAGTTACCTGGCGTGATCACGTGTATTTAAAAATCAGTGTGGCTATTTTTAAACACTAGACTTCAAAAATCACTTTCCTCAAAAAGAATATTCTGTGTCTTTGATAATTCTACTCATACATTGGAAGGATTACCTGCGAAGAGTACTTATCAAGTGCCAATTACACACCAACACCCTAGTAGAGGAGTTATATACATTTGTCACACTAATGAATTAATGGTTTTCAAACACTTCGTGCTCCATGAGGAACTGACCTCTGGTCACCTCCTACTCTCTGCTAACAGCCACTGCATCTCTAATGCACATCTCTAAGCATCGAACACAGGTTACAAAACAACACCTACAAATCATCCTACTTTCGTTTTTATTTTAAAAATTATATGTTTGCTAACACCAGGTAAATAGAGGAAAAGATGTCAATATGTTATGAGTTATTTTAACTGAGTGGTAGATTTGGGGTGATTTGTATTCCTTTTTATCTCTTTTTATTTAGAAATACACGTATTGATTTTGACACAAGAAATAAAAACACTAAACATGTTCTTAATATCAAAAACAATCTATTATATCTGAAACGCTGCATTTTCTTAGCTGATTTCCCCCCCCCCTTATAAACCTGTCATCTCTAAACTCTGACCTCAGCTGTGTTATTTGCCTAAATTCACCCAGGACAGACACCAAAACAGAAAATGAGAGGAGAGAAGCTCTGGGGATAAGGCTCGGAATCAGAGCTTTCCAAGCCAACAATCCCAGAGCGTGTCACATTCCACAGTTTAAATGTGACTCCAGTGTGATTCCACAGGAGCCCTTCACAGGGCTGGGCCTCTAGCCCCACCTTCACCCCAAACCTTTTACTTCATTCTCACCCTAGTCATATTGCTTCTCCCCCAATTCCTGGAAGCAGTCTGACAAAAAGGCTTCTCCTGGGGCCAATCTTATATTTGAGGTTAATGAGACCAGGCTTCAGAGAGGAAGCTTTTCTGGAATTCAGGACTTTTTTCTCTTTCTCACCTTGTTAAGTACTATCTAGTCAGAACCTCAGAACCGACTCACAGCTGACCCTCCAGCAAGTTTCCAGAAACAGTAAATCCCACGAGAGGTGGTTGCTCACCTTTGCCCTACAGAGCAGCTGGTGGATTTGAACCACACGCCTTTGAGTTGGCAGCGCAACTCCTTACCACTTAACCACCAGAGCTCCCTTTCTCAGTGTAGAGTAACCAAAGCTGTCAAGGCACATACTGGCCAGTAGTGGTCACTGCCCTCTCCAGGCCTAATGATAAATTCTGCCCAATGTACTGTGAACCAGGAAGCAAGGAGGTTTGCCAGGAATGCTTCGTCATAAACAGATTCAAGAGGCACAATTAACCCTGTAAACGATTTCAGAGTTATTCCACCTGAGATGATGAGCCCTATCTCTAAAAATGTGAGAACTTGAGTCCTGACTGGCTCAGTCCCTGGACACTCAAGCCCTTCAGGAGAGGGTGGTTTAGGGTGAAAAGCCCCAGAAATCTCCCTGACACACACTTGCAAGAGTGGGATACCTTTAGCCAGGAACTTCCTAAAGACTTAAAGTTAGGGACAGAGAGAGGAAGACAACCCCACCCATACTGTGTCACAAACACAGATGAAAGCAAATGGGTTGGTAAGCCATTTGTGATCACCCTTGAGAACCCTATTCTCTGATTCAGGAACCAAAGTGGGGTGGGGAAGGTGACACTCATGTGGACATAGAATCTATTGTCCAATCCAGACATTGTGCAGAGTGAAGCGGGTACTATTAAGATTCATGCCAGGATGTACCATGGTTTCTGTAACCATTTGTTTGTTGTTGACATGTGGGTTATTTCCATCTCTTTGCTTTTGGAAATAATAGTGCAGTAAACACAGGTGTGTGTATATTAGTAGTGTCACAGTTCTTTTTGCTCTAGAATATACACCTAGCAGCAGAACTGCTGAATCAAATGCTATTTCCATTTTCAACATTTCAAGGAATTATCAAAGTGTTCTTTCCGCAGTGGTTGCATCATTTTACATTCCCACTAGCAGTGTATTAAAGTTTTAGTCTCACCATGTCCTCACCAGTATTTGCTGTTTATTGTCTTATTGAAGTTTGCTATTGTTGTCAGGGTGTGGTTACAGCTCATTGTTGTTTGAATTTGCATCTCTCTGATCAATCAACACCCTTGGTACCAGCAGTCAACAAATCAGAAGACATATTGCATTGGGCAAGTCTACTGTCAAAGACCTCTGAAGAGCAATGATGTCAGTTTGAAGACTAAGGTGCGCCTGATTTAGGCCATGGTCTTCTCAATCACCTGCTATGCATTAGAAACCTGGACAATGAATAAGGATTGAATGAATAAAGAAGAATTGATGCTTTTGAGTTGTGATGCTGGAGAAGAATACTGAATATCCCATGGACTGAAAAAAGAACAAAGAGCTATGTCCTGGAAAGAGCTATTTCTGCCGCCAGAGTGCTCCTTAAGTCAAAGATAGCAAGCTTTCATCTTTCATACTTTGGACATGTAATTATGCAAGGCTGTTCCTTGGAAAGGGACATCATTCTCAGAAAGATGGAGGGTCAGCCAAGCAAAGGAAGGACCCCCCCAACAAGGTGGATTGACACTGTGACTTCAGCAATGGACTCTAGTGTCTCAGAAATGATGGGATGGCACAGGATAGGGCAAGGTTTAGATTGGTTGTTCATGGGTCGATACAAACAGTATTTGACTCCACACCTAATAATAATAGCCGAGATAGGTGAAGAGAAAGGCAATACACAATAAAGAGGTGATCAGATATTGTGAGTTTTATAACTAATATTATAAAACAAAAGGTATATGACATATTGAATGAAAGGCCAATTTGCCTTACAAATTTTCAAATCATAATTTTAAAAAATTTATGCCACAAGTAGATGATAGTGCTATACTCATATTAGTATGTATTATAAAAAAGAAAAATATATGTATATTAGGAAATGGGTTTTAGGCAGGAATATCTCAGGCTGAGCAGAGTATATGGTCACCTGAGAAAACATCACCCATTGCTTTTGCCTGGCCAGGGTGGTGTCCTACTGTCTCCTAGGACCTAGGCCTCTGATGGAAGTTCCAACTCATCACTGTGGAGTTGGAAACAGCTCCAGGCTGACCCTCCACTGGGTTTCTGAGGCTATAATTTGAACAGGAGATTGCCCAGCTTTCTCCCAGGGAACTGCTGGTGGATGTAGCCTTTAGCTCAGCAGGGTAACCCTCTGTAGACTATCCCACCACTTTCAAAATTAAGCTGAAGCCTCATTCAGCAAGTTCTCTAGCAGACCAGGAAAAGAAGATGGAAAAATCATATGGGCCAGGACCCGGGGGAAGGGCCTCTGTCTGCTTCACTCATGCACCTCTGTCCTGAGAGCAAGGTCTGCAGTAGACTCTTAGGAAATATTTGTTGAAAATAGTTGTATGCCTGAGTATGGTTTCTAAAGCCATCAGAGAGATCTGGCAATCCTGGGTAATACATAAAAGATCTGAACTCTAAACTGTTGTAAAAGCTGAAGGTGAATTGGGGTTTATGTTATAAAATGATTTGGGAAAAGAGTGGAAGAATGATTGCACAACTTGTAGAACATAATGTCATTGAATTGTACACAGAGGCGCTGGTGATCTGGTGTACATTTAGTTGTGTATCTTTTTTACCACCAAAAAAAAAAAAAGTATCTATTGTACTACAAAGACTACTATGGATTTCCCTTTGATAAGAGTTTGTACCTCCAAGATGAACACTCAAAGTCAGATTAAACTGAAACTATAGACATCTACAGAGAAACTGATTTGAAACAAGGTCAACCACTGCTGAACTTCAAATGATCTGGAACAATTTCCTGCAACATTCCAGTGTGAATGCCTTCAAAACTTTATTGGAACTAAAAGAAGCAAATGCTTGCCGTACACATCAGGATTCCTCTAACTCCATTTTCACTGGATGTTAGTCCAAGCCCTCTGAGAATGAAGTGGCCACAACAGAATTGTATTTGCATAAGGTTTATTAGGGAAATTCTTGTGAAGGGTAAAGGAGAAGGGGCAGGAGTGGGTGAGGCAAGTGCAAGTCGTGGGAAAGGTGACAGGAAGAGAACCGGGTAGGAAGAGCCTCTGGCTCAGCCTCGTTCCAAACAAGCTTCAGCCCGGCTCATGGGGAGCCCTGGGAACAAAGTTGCTTGTAGAGAGATCCTCACCCTGCAGGGATAGGCCAGCATGATACCCTACTGTGTCCAGATAATGGCTGGAGAGCAATCTTAGAAAGTGTGGCCTCTGCACAGACATGCTGATGGGGTCAGGAGGGCAACAGCTGGGCCCTCAGTCAACTCTGCTCCCTGCAGAGAGAGTTCCACCAGCACACGCTCGTGGCTGCCGCACACTGTGCTTGAAACAATACTGGTCCTGGAATGACTTTTGTTTCACTTTTGTTTCACTGACTCCAGTGAAATGATGCCAGCTGGACATTGCATATCAACGAAGATAATAAATCACTGCCCTACCACCCTCTTATTCTCCCAAGTATTATCCTGACTAGTAGTCATTATAAATTATAACATTTGCTCACAGAATCTCAAGTCACAACAAACTTTTATTTAGAAAATAAAGGTCTGCCCTTTCATTTTAATGCTTCCAAAGGCACAAGCCCATCCTGGGGGATTCATGTGACTGACGGCTGCTTAGAAATACTAACAAACTGGGTATCAGATCACCATCGTCCAGCATCAACTCTTCTTAGGGTTCCAAGTCCTTCATGCTACTCTTGGTTAATCAGTACTGACTTTGGTCCAGATGATAATCTAGAGGATCGAGCCTTAACTCATCCCCAGATGGAACAACTTCCTCAGAAAGGCTGGTCCTCCCCAGTAGCCCCTGGAAGAAATGACACAGAAAAAGATATTTGTAGCAAAAGAGTTGGAGTCACTTCAGTCAGCAGGATGCTGAAAGGGAAGTCAGGCTGCTCCCAGAACGTGCTTATCAGCAGGTGACTCACGAGTTATCTAGTGAGCTGAATCCCATCAAGGGGAAGAATGGCCTGCCGCCAGCTGCAGCTTCGACACTGCCTTGCTGTGTGAGCCCAAACATGCTGACTCAATCCAGCAACTGTGTTCAGCCCACACTGTGTAAACTGCTATCCTCTCTGCTTCCATTTGCTCAATGAATGCAGTTTGTTGCTGCTGTTATTAGATGCCACAGAGTGCAATGCAACTCATAGAGACACTAGGAACAATGGATATAAACCCTGCCCTATCTATGCCATCTCACCATCTCTGACATTCTTAAGCCCATTACTACAGTTACCTTGTCAATCCCTCTTATGTGGGCCACCTTCTCTTATGCTGACACTCCTTCTTTCCAAGTATGATGTCCCTCTCCAAGGACAGGCCCCTCCCTAACAACATGCCCAAAGTGTGTGAGATGAAGCTTCACCACCCTCCCTTCCAGAAGCACTCTGGTCTCACTTTCTCCAAAACAGACTTGTTTGTTCTCTTTGGAGTACATGGGAAACTCAACACTCTTCTCCAAAACCACAACTCAATGGCATTGATTCCTCTGTCAAGGTTTCTCAATTTTAGCCCTGTTAACATTTTGGGCCAGACATTTCTTTCTTTGTTCTTCACTCACCAGGTGCCAGAAGAACACCCCAATGTGACAACTAACTATTCAGGGGAAAGAAAGGCAGCAAAATCACCCCCAGTTGTGAATTACTGACTTGCCTGTCTGACAGAGGTTTGGAAAGGTCAAATGGAATCATCATGCTTTTTAGAATGAAGAATGATTCATTAAAATGTGTTGCTCTTCTTTATTGAGTGCTTACTGTGTTCTTGTTTGTTTGCATTTCATCCCAATAGTCCTATGAGGTAGGTGAGGTTACTTTCATTATACTAATTTTATAAAATACCTGAAACGGACAATCTAAGCTACTAGCCCTCCGAGTAAATGACAGAGGCATGACAAAAACACAGGTCTAATGGACTCTAAAGTCATCATTGTTGTTGTTGTTGTTGTTGTTATTATGTACTATCAAGTTGGAATCAGCCCATAGCTGATGCTTCAGTGGGTTTTCAGAGGGAGCTAATTGCAAGAGAGATTACCCATCCTTCTCCCACAGACCAGCTGGTGTATTTGAACTGTGTACATTTGGGATTGGAGCCAGTTTCTCGCCACTTAGCCACCTGGTCACATAGTCTGTAGCAGGTTATACTGCTAACCTTTAGGCTGTTCAAATTCTCCAGCAGCTCTAGGGGAGAAAGATAGGCAGTCTCCACCTGGTGTGAGTTATAGCTTTGGAAATGTGATGGAGGGGTGCTCTGAATCAGAACCAACTCAAAAGCAGTAGGTGAAACTAAGGTAACAGAAAAAAAAATATTGACATGGAGAAAGTGATTTAAGTATGTAAAGATTACTATTGTTATTTATTGATAAACAAAATTACTATTACTTAATTATTATTACTACTTTTCTATCTTTAGCAGCAAAGAAGATCAGAGCACAGCAACTAGTAGATTTGGGTCATTGCTGATAATGAACAGAGGCTGTACTGTCTGACATGGTAAACAAGCTACAACCCCCTTCCCTCATCCAGGACTGTCTTTTCTCCCATTGAGCCTGGCTGAGACTTCAGATTCTTTCACAGCCGGCCAGCACTACCCCATGAAAAAACAGCACAGCAAGGGGACCCCACTAGCCAGTCCTGCTTTAGGTGGAAATTCCTCCTGAGGTTGGAAAGCTCCTTGAAAATGTCACACTGCCTAAGTTGTGCCAGAAGGTGCATCCTTGGAGCTGAAATCTCACTCACCTGAGCATCATATTCCAATAGAGGAGAGGCATGAAGTCGGCCTTCATGATGTACATGGAAAGCCGTTCTTTGCCCTGGTTGAAGGGAAACGTTTCCAGTGGCTGAGCATTATAATCAAATTCAGCAAGAATTACACGATTGTAACCAGTCACCAGTGGGCACGAGGTATAGCCATCATACTAAAATAAAAAGTAATCTTGAGTTAGAAAGCGTGCTTCTTTCAAACCACTACCTTCAACTGTCATTGATTCTGACTGACAGTGACCCTCCATCAGGTTTCAAAGACTGTAAACCTTTATAGGAAAAGACTCATGAAGTAGCTTGGTGGCCTGGAACCACCATCCTTTAAATTAGAAGCCCAAATATACTAGTTACACCTTATACCATTACAATTCCTGTACTGCTACATGTTATTGTTGTTATATATTTCTCCTATGGAGCAGCTGATGGATTTGAACTACCTGCCTCTGGGTTGGCAGTACAACTCCTTACCACTAAGCCACTAGAGCTCTCTGTTGTTGTTGTTGTGTACTGTACAGTCAGAACCAACCCATAGCCAACCCTCTGGTGGGTTTTCAGAGGCAGTTAATCCCACAAGAGGAGATTGCCCATCTCTTCCCCACAGATTACTTAGACACTCTAAAATCTAATATTTTTTCTGAGTGGTTATAATGGTGGTTTGTTCCTTCATTTTTTACATAAATTGTCATTTTTTGTATAGTGAAATGGGTAAGTTACATCCTAACAGATAAAAAATTATGAAAACACTCATGATAAAGGAAAAAACAATGTATTCATATTTTAGAAACCAGGACAAAAAGTGATAAAATCCTTGTTTGTTGTTGTTGGGTGTCGTCAAGTCAACTATAACTCATAGTAACCCTATGACAGCAGATCTGGACCTTGCCCTATTCTGCGCCGTCCTCACAATCTGTGACATGGTCAAGCCCACTGTTATAGTCACTGTGTCAATCGAGCTGGTTGGCACTCTTCATCTCTAGGGACATGCTATCTGCATGCAGAATGGAAGATGAAAATTGAGAAAAGGCACACATACCTTCTTAACTGGTAGTTGGTTCTTCATAATCAGAGAAATTGTCCTATCAAGTATTCCTGATTGAGCAGCTGTAAGAGAAATCAAAAAGTCAGAAATACAGAAACATCTAGGTTTTCCATTGAAACCAATCTGCAAATAATTTTAGTGTAAACAAGAAATGTCCAAATGCTCCATAAGACCATTATTGTGAAAATAGGATAACTAGTAAAACACATATGGAAACCCAAGCGGGGGGGAAGGGGGCAGCAGTGGAGGGGTGAGGACGGGTGGGGAGAAACCATAGGGTTGCACAGTTTGGTAGGTGGAGGGAAGGGATGAAGCAAATGGGAAGGATCCAGCAGGGACCTGAAAGGTGGGGGGGGGGTGGAACTGTATACCAATGAAGGACGTTTTCTTTTGCTTTTCAAGAAGAGCGAACTGGAAGTGGGGGTGGGGTGGGCAGGGAGAAAAGTGCAACAATGAATGAATGGAAATCCAAAATCTCTGTAGATGTTCATTGAAATTTAAAAAAAAAAAAACACCCAAGGTAACAATGGGTGAGGTCCAATGGTAATTAATTTTATAAAACATAATGCATGGGAATGATTGTATAAAACACACACTGAGAATGAAGAATAGCATGAAACACAATCGGAATGAAGAATTCTGTGAAACGCAATGTATATGAACCGTGTAAGCAAACCAAAATATAACCTTTTCTAGAAAAAGAAGTGTTGGTGGGCTCTGGTGGCCTAGTGGCAAGAAGCTGCACTGCAATATCAGAGGTGCATGGTTCAAATCCACCAGATTTTCTGCTGAAGGAAGGAAGGATAATCTCTTCCTCTACCAGTCAGATCTAATTTGATGGTACATATATTAAAGAATAATAAAAATTTTTTTAAAGTGTCCATTCCCCATCCCTTTAGCTTGCAACTAGAACATGACTTCTTATTTCTAGAAGCTCTAACTACCAGAGAGCATTCATCAACTTATTAGTTTCAAAAAATTGATGCAAAAACTCTGTGAATTTGGAATTTAAGAATCAGTTCTCATCAATAAGAGGGTTGGCCATTTCAGTAAGAACTTTAAGTAAGAACAGCCCTTTCTCCTGGAGATGAGTCAGCAATCTGTGTGCCGGTCTCCCCTGGGCATCTAGATATTCCTAGACCCTGGTAAGACAAACTAAACTGGTAGCCCAGCATATATAATCAGGGGAAATACATAGCTTTTCATCTGTCATAGACTGTAATAACTGTTGTTACTGTTGTAAGGTGCCATCAAGTCCAATACAACTCATAGTGACCTTATTAATTCTGTGCCATCCTCATCCTCTGACATACTTAAGCCATGACTGAAAAGTCTTGAATATACCATGGACCACCAAGAAAACAAATAGGTCTGTTACGGAGAAAGTAAAAATCAAGTTTCTCCTCAGAAGCTCAGATTTTGAAGCTCCATCTTACATATTTAGGGCATGTGGCCAGGAGAGGCCGATCCTTTGAGAAGGACATCATGCTTGGAAGGGTGGAGGGACAGCGCAAGGAAGGAAGACCCCAGATGAGATAGATTGATACAGTGACTAGGGCAATGGAGGTTGGTATGTCAGTGAGATTGGCTCAGGACAGGGCAGACTTCAGAGCCATTTATTGTACATAGGGTCTCTATGAGTCACAGGCAACTCGATGGCACTTAACAACCATCTAGTCAAGTCTGACCCATAGCAACCTTATCGAAGACTAGAACTGTCCCATAAGGTTTTCAGGGCTGTAATCTTTATAGAAGCAAACTGCCACATCTGTCCTGCTGTGGAGTTCCAGGAGAGTTTGAATAGCCCACTTTTAGTTAGCAACTGAGGACTTTTTTATTATTCTTCATTCTAATGAACATTTACAGAGATTTTAATTCATTGTTGCACTTTTCTCTCCACCTGCCCTCCCCCATCCCCAGCACTTTTAACTAATACTTCTTGTTCTTCTCCAGCACCACAACTCAAAGGCATCAATCCTTTATCATCCTTAGTTATTTTCTAGCTCTCTGATACATAGCAAGTAATTGCAAAGACCATGGCCTGGATCAGGTACACTTTAGTCTCCAGACCGACATCATTTCTCTTTAGTACACTAGAGAGGACAGCAAATTTTCCCAATGCAATTCATCTTTTGATTTCCTGATTGTCGGTGTCAAGAGTGTTGATTATGAATCCAAGCAAGCTGAAGTTAACAATCTCAATCCCTTCACTGATTATCATGAAGCTCCCAATTGGGCCGGTAGTAAGAATGTTTGTCTTCTTGATGTTGAGCTTCGATCCATATTGAAGACTTCAGATCTTGATCTTCTGTAGCAAACGCCTCATGTCCTCCTCAATTTCAGCAAGTAAGGTTGAACACAGACTGAGTCTTCCTCGAATCCTGATGCCACACTCCTCCTCACAAAGTCCAGCCTCCCATATGATCTGTTCTCCATATAATTTGAAAAGGTATGGAGATAGAATGCATCCTTGATGAATACCTTTGCTGATTTTGAATCATCCAATGTTTTCATGCTAATTTGACTGCTGCTTCCTGGTCCAAGTATAAGTTTCACATGAGCACAATGAAATGCAGACATTCCTTTGCTATTCTCTCCTTTCAGCCAAGATCCTTCTGATGCCCCTACTGCCAAAGCTTATGAATCCAGCTTGCACTTCTAGCAGTTCTCTGTCGTTGTACTGTCCCAGTTTTTTTGGATAATCTTCAGCAGGATCTTGCTTGAGTAAAATATTAGTGATATTGTTTAACAATTTAAACACTCTGTTGGATCACCTTTTAAAAAAAAAAGGGATAAATATGGGTTTCTTCTAGTCAGTTGGCCAGGTAGTTGTCCTCCAGACCTCTTGGCACAACCTCGTGAACATGTCCAGGGAAGCATCTGTTTAAATATGTCATTTGGTATGCCATCAATTTCTGGGGCCTCATTTTTTGCCAATTCCTTCAGAGCAGCTTGAACTCCCTCCCTCATCATCACCATTGCCTCTTGGTCATATATTGTTTCATTAAATTCTTCTGTGTCAGCCAATCCTTTTTTGATACCGTGATGTTTTTATGTACACACATACATGTATGTGTGTGTGGATATAGATAGATGATAGAGATAGAGAGAGAGAGAGAGATAAAAGATAAAATTTTTATGGCAAAAGGGAAAAAGACTTTTAATGAAAAATTTTAAATCTAAGATAATGAACTCTGTCATACAACCACACTCATGTGTCTCACCACTCATCACTTTGGTTTCCTGGAACAAGTTTAGAGCATACATCAGACCGTTTTGCCCAAAAGTTTCTGTGTGTCTCTGGTAGGTGAGGATTTTTTCCAACACAAGATACATTACACCCAAAATTATTAACACTAATTCTTTAATATAATCTAATCCAAGTCTGTATTCCATTTTGACTAAAACTGGACTGCTACCTGCAGAAAGCTAAAACAGGATTCACATCTCACACCATACGCAAAAACAACTCAAGGTTTATAAGAGACCTGGGAGCAAAGCTCAAAACCATAAAGTTCATAAAAGGGAAAACTGGGACCAATCTTAGATGGCCTGATCTAAGGTATAAAGAGACTGATAAATATAGCCAGAAATGAACAATCTGGAGAGGATAAAATGGATGAATGGGACCTTCCAAAGATTAAATATGTGCGCTCATCAAAAACTCTTTTCAACAGAGTGTAAAGAAAACCTACCAACTGGGAACAAATCAATACCATTTCAGACAAGAGTCTACAGAATACTCCAATTACAAAATACGCAAAACACATGGGAAGATTTTCACTGAGGAAGACATTAGGATGGCAAACAGACACATGAAAAAAGGATCAAAAATCACTGGTAATAAGAGAGATCCAAATCAAAATCACAATGAAATGCCATCTTAACACCAGCAGCAGTGGCAAAATTTAGCAGGGCAGCAAGTAATAAATGTTGGAGAGGATATGGAGACGTAGGAACTTGAATATTGTGTTAGTGGGATTGTAAAATAGTAAAACCACTCTGGAAGACTCTCTGGTATTTTCTCAAAAAATTAAACCTAGAAACTTTGTATGACCCAGCTATTCCGCTACTAGAAATATATATACTCTAAGGAAATTAGAACTGAGACACAAATGGAGATTTGTACACCAATGTTCACAGCAGCATTATTCACCATCACAAGAACATGGAAACAGTCCAAACGTCCAACTACAACTGACTGGATTGAGAAATTATGGTTCATCCAAATAATGGAATATTATGCAGCACTCAGAAGCAACAATTTCGAAAAATACTATATAACTTGAAGAGACTGGAGAGCATTATGCTTAATGAACTAACTCAGTCTCATAAGGACAAATACTGCATAATACCATTATTATAAGAATAGAAGGAAAACTATTAAAACATGTCTGGGGACCCAAGGAAGGGGTGAGAGCAGAGGGATGAGGATGGGTAGAGGCAAAACCACAGGGTTGCACAGTTTGGGGAGTGGTGGGAGAGGGTGAAAGAAAAAGATTAAATAATACTTGGGAATAAATTTAACCAGAAGTACAAAGGACCTTTTCCAAGAAAATTACAAAACATTACTACAAGAAACAAAAAGAGATCTTGAAAAGTGGA